CTCCTCCTCCTCCTCCTCCTCCTCCTCCTCCTCCTCCTCCTCCACAAGGCTGGACGTTTGGTGAACAAGCTTCAAGAAGTCTTAGGGGAAAACGCCACTGTGGGAAGGAACCGCCCGCCATCCGAAATCTCAGGCGAGAGCCCCGTTAGATAAGAAACTGCTTTCCGTCCGTGTGACTGGCATAGAATGTTTGAGATGAACGTGCGCGGTGCTGAAATGAGAAGCCCGTTTTGAAGACGAGTGGCCCTCCATCCGTGTAACTGTTGGGCGTCTTTGAGACAAGAGTGCGTGTGTCTAAACAAACCCCATGTTGAAAACGGCCAGCCCTCCTCCCCAAATCCGTGCAGCGACTTAAGACGAATGCGCGCGGCGCCAAGGCGATAGCCCAGTTGTGAGAACGATCCGCCTTCCAGTCGTGTAACTGTTGGAGGCATCAGGCTTCAAGATCGCAAGCGAGGGAAGTCTCAGGCGAAGCGCCTGGCCCGCCCCAGCGACAAGTCCGGTGGCACGAAAGGGAGGAGATGTTTACAATGAAGCCGGGACGGAAGACGAGAGGAAGCGATGAGGACGAGGAAGATTCTGAGGATGAGGAGGGGGAGAACGACGACGAAGAGGAGTGGGGAGGAGGAGATGAGGAGGCCGTGGACGGCAGACGAAGGGGGCGGCCTTCTTTACCGTCGCTTCGCGGGGCGCTACTGTAAGAAACGGGAAGGCATTCGTGCCCAGCCTGCACAGACTAAAGGACGGCACAGCTTATCCAGCCAAGAAGAACTGGTCCCCAGGCTCGACCTGGAGTGCTGCCGATGCCGATTCGGTGGAGGAGGAAACCAACGAGACGAGCGCCATAGGGGGAGGGGGTGGCCAAAGATCCGACGTCGCAGTGGGTTCACCAGGCCATGGAAATCCGCCCAAAACCAATCTCCAGGTCCCTCCTGGGCGCCGCCTGACTTGTTTTCGAGGCCTCGTCCTGCAGAGGGCGACGAAGAGCAACAGTCGCAGAGCACCAGCCAGAGAGAACCGTCCACAGAGCACCAGAGCTGGAGAGAGAAAACTGAGAAAATGAAACATCATACAGCACAAACGAGAGAGCATCACCCTAGATCACCAGTGCGCGAGAGAGACAACGCAGCGAATGTGGCACCACGCTTCAGGGCCTGAGGATTGAACTGCGTGTGAGCGCGTCTGGCCGTGAACAAGGCTGGCTGCGAGAACGAGAGAGGGAAGAGCAGGACGGAGTGGGAGGCGAAAAGCGAGACACGGATACAGTGGAGGCCAGTCCACAAGAAACCTTCCGCAAGAAACCCAACCCTGAGACCCCAGGACGTCCATGAATTTTTGGCGTGGGCACGTCACGCTTTCCATTGCAAAGCCATCGAATCCCAAGAAACCCAGGGCACCCTGGAGGCAAGCAGGGTGTGTCTTGGCATGAGCCTCCACTGAGAACAAGAACCCGAGCCCCGTGCTTGGCGCACGGGTGAAAAAAGTTGAAACGCCGGGCGCTGTCGGAAGGCACCTCTTCTGGGGCCGCAGCGGGCCACCGCGCCGAGCTTACCCCCCCGCAGCTCGCAGCTCGAAGGGCCACGGCCGCCTCGCCACCAGAGGGGGCCCTCGTCGTCCTCCACCCCCACCTCCCCCTCCTGCCCCGCCTCCTCCTCCTCCTCCTCCTCCTCCTCCTCCTCCTCCTCCTCCTCCTCCCCCTTCCCCTCCCCCTCCTCTGCCTCCGTCCCCCTCCCTCATGGACAACTCCTCCCTGTCGCACCCCGGGACGGGTCGGCAGGGCGGGCCAGGCGTTCGGCCGGAGGCTTCCTCGCCACTGAGGATCCTGAGGCTTGAACTTGGCAACAGCTTCACGGATGGAGGGCGGATCGTTCTCGAATGTGGCGCTCGCTTTGAGCGCCGCGCGCTGTCGTCTTATAAAAGTCTTTAGGAGCTGCTTCACAGAATGAGGGGGCGGGTGGTTTTCTTCAACATGTGGTTCTCGCATTAGCGCCGCGCACCTTCGTCTCAAAAGCGTACAAGAACTGCACAGACGGAGAGCGGGCCGTTTTCAAAATGTGGCTCTCGCCGTAGCGCCGCGCACATCTAAAAGTTTGCAAGAGCTTGACAGATGGAGGGCAAATCGTTTTCAACATATGGTTCTCGCATTAGCGTCGCGAACATTCATCTTTAAAGTGTGCACATGTTTCACGGGTGGAGGGCGATCCCTTTTTCAAAACGCGGTTTGCAATTTAGCGCCGCGCACATTCGTTTCAGCAATTTACATACATTCCAAGGATCCTCATGATTTACATCACAGGAACGGAGTATTGGCACGATTTAAGATAGATTGCCCAGGCGCGACAGTCACGTTTGTTCGCGGTGTTGGCGCCCCAGGACTGGCGTCCTGGCACGATTCAGAATCGCCAGGTCGCAACAGTAATGTGAATTCGCGGAGTTGAAATCCCAGGAATGGTGTTCTGGCACGGTTGAAATTGTCAAACGGTTGTCTTCCAACGGGGCTCTCCCCGAGGAGCATATGAAAAGGGGATATTGGAGGGAGCGCAGCTTGCAACACACACACACACACACATAGTCAGACTCGTTCATACCCATACTCCCCCCCCCCATGATCTTCGCGATGTAGCAGGCTGTAGACTTGGGCGGCGATCAAAAACGGGTCTCAGGCGAAATGGCAGAGCGACATTACGCGGTGGCTTCCGCGGGCCGCAAGCGCGGCACGCTACGCTAGAGACGAGGGCGCTTACGCGCGACCTTACGCGGGAAGCTTGCGCGCCGATGTCGGCGCAAACGACCCCGTTGTTCTGCGTCGCTCGCTTGGGCACCCCAAGAGGGAGCCGCAGGCGGGTTAGGACGCTTGCCCGTGCGCGCCCCCCTATAAGAGCGATCGAGCGAGGCGTTAGGATGTGGGGATGTCTCGAGAGAGGCGTTTGCGTCGAGCCTGCGACGCCTCCCCTTATAAGAGCCCAATGATCACCGCGATGTTCCAGGCATGGCACGTGGGCGCCCCAAGGGGAGCCGCCTGAGGGCAGGGGCACGTGCTGAGTCTTTCTCGAGCTTGAGTCTGCTCGCACTCAGGAGTCCACGCCCACGTCAGGCAACGAGATGCACGTTTGGGGGGGCCCCGCGCCGAACAATCCCAATCCGTTGGAGGTCGGCGACGACGACGGCGACGACGGCGGCGACGACGACGACGCCGACGACTACGACGGGGCCCCGCCAGCGGCGCGCCGCCACTGAGGGGAGGGCAGATCGCTCAGGTCGCGGCGTCGCGGTCGAGCCTCCTCGCGGCGACAGCCGCGACGGCTGCTGAGCTGCCGTGTCCGCGACCCGCTGCTCTCTTCCGCGCCCTGCTTCTCGTGATGGTGACGATGGTGATGCTCCTGGTGATGATCATGTTGATGCTGACGATGATTCATGGTGGTGGTGCTGGTAATGATGATGGTGATGATAGTGATGATGATCCTGATGATGAAGATGGTGGTGATGATGATGATCATCCTCGCCATCATCACTGTCGTCATCAGCGTCGTCACCGGGACAATCGTCATGGTGACTGTCATAGTGGTGATCAGCGTCGGCATCATGGTCATCGTCAGCATCATCAGGGTCATCATCATCAGCATCATCAGCATCAGCATCCTCATCATCATCAGCATCATCAGCAGCAGCATCAGCATCATCAGCATCATCAGCAGCAGCGGTACCTTCACACTCACCATCACAATCCTCATCACAAGCATCAGCATCATCGTCATCATCATCATCACCAGCACCGTCATCCTAATCATCATCGACCCTGATCTCTCCTCCTGCTCCCTCCTCCCTCCTCCTCCTCCGCCTCCGCTTCCTCCTCTCCCTCCTCATCATGCTCATCATGGTCATCATGATCTTCATCACGATCATCACCAACAAACAGCAGCGTAATCATCATCAGCAGCATCATCATGAGCAGCAGCAACAGCAGCACAATCGTCATTAGCCTGATCAGCATCGTTCTAACCATCATCAGATTCGCTTCCGACGTCATGATCATCGTCATCATCACCATCATCATCATCAGCCGCATCAGCATCATCAGCATCATCATCATGATCATCATCACCACCATTAACACCACCACCATCATCATCACCATCATCACCATCACTATTATCATCATCATCATCATCAGCATCATCATCATCATCAGCAGCAGCAGCATCCTCATCATCATCGTCATCATCATCAGCATCATCATCATTGCCGTCGTCGTCGTCAACCTCGTGCTTTCTCCTCCTCGTCCTGCTCCAACTCCTCCCCCTCCTCTCTCCTCCCTCCTCCCTCTTCCCTCCTCCTCCTGCTCCCTCCTCCTCCGCTTCCTTCTCCTCCTTCTCCTCCTTCTCCTCCACCTCCTGCTCACCATGATCATCATGAGCATCATCATGAGCAGCAGCAGCATCATAATCATCATTTTAACCCTCACCAGAATCATCGTCGTCGTGGTCGTCGTCGTCATCGTCGTCGTTGCGGTGGTCGTAATCGTTGTCGTCGACGGCGGCGGCGGTGGCGGCAGCAGCATCAACCTTCTCTTCCTCCTGCAGCTCAGATCTGCCCTCCGCCCTCGAAGGTCGAGGAGGGCAATTGTTGAACTTGTCCTGAGGTCTCCAGGACGGTTTGGACCTCGTTTGAGCCCTCAGGAGCCTGAAGGGGCCTCACGAAGTCAGTCAGGACCCAGGGCGGCACTACCAACTTACCACCTCGCCATGATCCTTCTCGTCCTCGTCCTCCTCCTCCTCCTGCTCCTCCTCCTCCATCTTCTTTGCAAACAACTGCTCCCTGTCGCACCACTAGACGTGCCAGAAAGCCAGGCCGGACATTTCGCTTGAGACCCCGAAACATCAAAGTTCAACAGACACACGGATGGAAGGCCATCAAAATCTAGACCGGGGCGGTCAAAAGCGGCTGACAACCCGAGTTCCAGCTAATTTCGAGTCTTACCTTTCCCGGACTCTTGGGGGCATCTCTCCCTTCCGCAAGCTTCCGCCGGCGGAGCCGCCGTCGCTCTGCGTGCACCGCTGCCCGCAGGCCTTCGATCAGCTTCCGCCGGAGGCGACATGCCACCCCCGTGATCCCTCGAAGCAGAGGCCCCTTCAGGAAGAGACCCTGGGCGCGACCAGCTGTTTATCGAACCTGCTTTGGGGGCGCAAGAGGACATACTAGTACTCTGCGCTCCCTCTGGAGACGCACGTCCGAACCAAAAAGACATAGGAGACAAACATGTTGCAGTATTCAAGGGGCCCTGGGACACACAAAAAATTAGCCTGGCGAAGGACCCAACCATATGCAGTTGAGAGTACCGCAATTGTGAATATCTTCTTCGGTGGCGCTCCCTATGGGGCCACGAGCCGTATGAGGGGTGTGCCGAAATGCGTGGCAGTGTACACAACACGAACGAAGACGATAGGTCCGAATATGAAAGCTTGAGCGCGTGCGAGTCGGATCGCGAGCGAGTCTGATTATGAATGAATCTGCGCGCGATTGATTCTATTCGCATGAATGCGTGCATGGATACGCCCAGTGTAAATGTATGTATACGACTGTGAACAGTTTGGGTCTGCGTGACTCTCGGTACTCGTGACTCTGAGCGTCGCCTCTGCAGGGGGCTTCCCTGGGAACCCCGACGGCAGCGCCCGCGCGCCGCGACGCCCATGTCGGCACGCCACACACCTGGTGTGCGGGACGCATGCGGACGGCAGCACTGGGGCCTTCGGTGGAGCTCCCTGTGGGGCCACGAAACGTGTGAGGGGTGTGCCGAAATGGGTGTGCGGGACGCATGCGGACGGCAGCCATGGGGCCTTCGGTGGAGCTCCCTGTGGGGCCACGAAACGTGTGAGGGGTGTGCCGAAATGGGTGTGCGGGACGCATGCGGACGGCAGCACTGGGGCCTTCGGTGGAGCTCCCTGTGGGGCCACGAAACGTGTGAGGGGTGTGCCGAAATGGGTGTGCGGGACGCATGCGGACGGCAGCCATGGGGCCTTCGGTGGAGCTCCCTATGGGGCCACGAAACGTGTGAGGGGTGTGCCGAAATGGGTGTGCGGGACGCATGCGGACGGCAGCCACTGGGGCCTTCGGTGGAGCTCCCTATGGGGCCACGAAACGTGTGAGGGGTGTGCCGAAATGGGTGTGCGGGACGCATGCGGACGGCACGGCAGCACTGGGGCCTTCGGTGGAGCTCCCTGTGGGGCCACGAAACGTGTGAGGGGTGTGCCGAAATGGGTGTGCGGGACGCATGCGGACGGCAGCCATGGGGCCTTCGGTGGAGCTCCCTATGGGGCCACGAAACGTGTGAGGGGTGTGCCGAAATGGGTGTGCGGGACGCATGCGGACGGCAGCACTGGGGCCTTCGGTGGAGCTCCCTGTGGGGCCACGAAACGTGTGAGGGGTGTGCCGAAATGGGTGTGCGGGACGCATGCGGACGGCAGCCATGGGGCCTTCGGTGGAGCTCCCTGTGGGGCCACGAAACGTGTGAGGGGTGTGCCGAAATGGGTGTGCGGGACGCATGCGGACGGCAGCACTGGGGCCTTCGGTGGAGCTCCCTGTGGGGCCACGAAACGTGTGAGGGGTGTGCCGAAATGGGTGTGCGGGACGCATGCGGACGGCAGCCATGGGGCCTTCGGTGGAGCTCCCTATGGGGCCACGAAACGTGTGAGGGGTGTGCCGAAATGGGTGTGCGGGACGCATGCGGACGGCAGCACTGGGGCCTTCGGTGGAGCTCCCTGTGGGGCCACGAAACGTGTGAGGGGTGTGCCGAAATGGGTGTGCGGGACGCATGCGGACGGCAGCCATGGGGCCTTCGGTGGAGCTCCCTATGGGGCCACGAAACGTGTGAGGGGTGTGCCGAAATGGGTGTGCGGGACGCATGCGGACGGCAGCACTGGGGCCTTCGGTGGAGCTCCCTGTGGGGCCACGAAACGTGTGAGGGGTGTGCCGAAATGGGTGTGCGGGACGCATGCGGACGGCAGCCATGGGGCCTTCGGTGGAGCTCCCTATGGGGCCACGAAACGTGTGAGGGGTGTGCCGAAATGGGTGTGCGGGACGCATGCGGACGGCAGCACTGGGGCCTTCGGTGGAGCTCCCTATGGGGCCACGAAACGTGTGAGGGGTGTGCCGAAATGGGTGTGCGGGACGCATGCGGACGGCAGCCATGGGGCCTTCGGTGGAGCTCCCTGTGGGGCCACGAAACGTGTGAGGGGTGTGCCGAAATGGGTGTGCGGGACGCATGCGGACGGCAGCACTGGGGCCTTCGGTGGAGCTCCCTGTGGGGCCACGAAACGTGTGAGGGGTGTGCCGAAATGGGTGTGCGGGACGCATGCGGACGGCAGCCGCGGAGGAGAGAGGAGAGGAGAAGGAGGAGAGGAGGTGGGACGCGGGGCGCTGTCTCTTCAAAACGAGGGCCCAACACCACAGGATGGTTGGGAAAATACACAAATTACCCCAGTGCGACCCTACCTAGAAGTTAGAGCCCCTAGGAAAGCAGCAGTAGTTGCTATGCTATGCTATGCTATGATATGCCATGCTATGCTGCGCTATGCTGTACTATGCTATGCTATGCTGTGCTATGCTATGATGCGTTATGCTATGCTATGCTATGCTATGCTATGCTATGCTATGCTATGCTATGCTATGCTATGCTATGATATGGCATGCTGCGCTGTGTTATGCTAAGCTATGTTATGATATGATGTGGTTTGGTATGCTATGCTATGCTATGCTAAGCTAAGCTGCGCTATGCTATGCTATGCTATGCTATGCTATGCTGGGCTGTGCAATGATATGCTATGCTGCGCTATGTTATGCTACGCTATGTTGTGCTCTGGTATGCTAAAGATTGGCGAAGCTAAGATGAAGGTGGGCTAAGCTGAGATTACACCCATGCTATGATATGCGATGCTGCGCTATGCTATGCTATGCTATGCTGTGCTCTGCTATGCTAGAGCTCAGCGAAGATAAGGTGAAGGTAAGCTAAGCCAAGACAAAACTGAGGTAAGATGAAGCTAAGCTAAGGTAAGATGACATAAGCTAGGCTAAGATGAGATAAGCAACGCGAAGCTGAGGGAACGTCACTGGGGGAACCGCGGGGCGGATACTGGGGGAACCGCCCGGGGCGCGTTCCACTGCCCGGCCCTTTAAGCTACCGAGTAAGAACCCTTCTAGGCAGAGCCTAGGTAGGGAATAACCGGATTCCCCCTAGTTTCCCATCTGTTCTGGGCTTCTGTCTTCCCCACACTTCCCATATTTTCCCAGATTTTCTGGGGAATCGTCGATCGATTGTGTCTGCGTGCTTTTGTTCCCTCCTGACGTATGTCACTGCCCGGGCGGCATGGCCAGAACGCGCCCGCCGCCGAGCAGCTGCCGACACAAGGAGCGCGGAGCGCGCGCGTCGCCCAAGGGGGGAGGCCGACGCCGCACGCGTGCGCGCCGAGGACATGTCTGTGAATGGGGCCCTGGGACACACAAAGAAATACACACAGGCACGTAACAGGATTCCCGACCTTTTCCCAGATGGTCTGGGTTTCTGTCCTCCCCACCACTTCCCATAGTTTCCCATAAAATTCCTGGGGAATCGACGAGGAGTTGTGTCTCTGTGTGGTTCTCTTCTCTTCGCGCGGCCCGCCTGGCTCTTCACCGGAAGAGGCTCGCTCTCCACCCGCAGACCCAAAAAAGTGTGTTTCTCTTCCTCCCGAATGCTTGGGTGATGCCGATGTTTCTGGCGGCGAGCGACGGAGGGGGGGGGAAGCGAGACCGGGCGGGCGCTCTCAGAAGGCTCGGAAGCCTCCCCCGGCCTGCTGCGGAGCTTCATAAGCCTTCCCCGAAGACGAGAAAAGCTTCTCAGAAGGCGCGGGGGCTTGTGAGAAGTCCCGCCGCCTTCTGAGAAGGCCTTCTCCTTCTCATTTCCCACCCTCGCTCGCCGCCGGTGTCTTGCCAGCCGGCACCCACCCGATCCTCATTACCCAGCGGAACAGCTTGCCCCCGCGCTGCTTCTCGTCCGCGAGCGTGCGCACTACCTTCGCGGTGGTGCGGGCCCGGGGGGGCGGCGCGGACGAGGATGGGGAGGAGGACCACGACGAGGAGGGGAGGAGGAAGAGGAAGGAGGAGGAGACGGAGAGAGGAGGAGGAGGAGGAGGAGGAGGAGGAGGAGGAGGAGGAGCAGGAGCAGGAGGAGGAGGATAAGGAGGAGGAGGGGGAGCAGAAGAAAGAGGATGGAGAAGGACCAGGAAGGAGGAGGAGGAGGAGGAGGAGGACGACAACGACGACGACGAGGAGGGGAGGAGATGGAGGGATGGAGGAGGGGAACCCGTAGAGATCCTGGCGCATGGCGTCGCAACGGACGATGATGCCTCTTTTCGAGCCCCAGGACCCTCACGGATCGCTCGGGCTCGAAAAGATGTTTCGAGAAAATGGTGTCTAGGGCTCTGGTCGTGACTTCTTGTGATGTTGCAACTTCGCGGCGTCGGATCTCAGGTGAAGAGGAGCAGTAGCATCAGCAGCAGCATCAGCAGCAGCAGCAACAGCAGCATCAAGCACGAGGAGTGAGGGAGGACCTCATCGAAGGAGAATAAGAAATCGAAGCTGAAACGGGCCGATCCGCTCGCCAGCCGAACGAGCTGCGCGGCGCATCTAATGACAACAGCTGGATATGGACCAGACTGCTGTTTGTTGAATTGCTTAACCTGCTGAATGTGGATCAACGTGGCGGTGCGAGGAGGAGGAGGAGGAGGAGGAGGAGGAGGAGAAGAACGACGAGGACCACTAGTAACCCAGCACACCTCACCGATGGCGCAACCCAAGACATCCGATGTCTGGAATTGTCGAAGGCGGTGCCCCCAGAAGTCCCGATCCTTTCCCACGGGCCGATTCTCCAGCGCGAAACACTGTCTGATCTGAAGGTCCCCGGGCCAAGCGAGGCCCCCCGAAGCCCAAAGGGCGGGCAAAATTTGCGTCGTGGTTTCGATCACGACGCGAGCACGTCTGGGATACAGTGGAAGCTCGACCACAAGAAACTTCCCAAAAAACCCAACCCTGAGACCACAGGACGTCCATTTTTTTTGGTGTGCGAACGTCACGCTTTCCATCGCCAAACCATCGAAACCCAAGAAACCCAGGGCGCCCTGGATGCAAGCAGGGGTGTGTCTTGGCATGGGCCTCCACTGTACGTCCCTTCCGTCCGATGCCACCTCCGAACGAGCACGACAACGGGCCTTCCCAGCCTCTGCACCGAGCGCCCGCCGGAACGGTAAGGGGCCCGCCCGTCCCGCCCCACCAGGAATTCAAGATCAGGACCCTGGACGTACGTCTGTGCCCAGCGGCTCCCCAGCCTCGGGGTGCGTTCCAGCGGATGCGCCTCGGTGTCGGGAAGAAGGGGTTGGGAAGATGCAGGGTGCGACTGCGTAATGAACACCCTCAGCCTATGCGCCGCGATTGATGATATGATCAGTTCTCCAAACCCCGTCCTTCCAACCCGATAGTTTTAACGAGAGCGTTGTAGGGGGCTCCCTGAAAATCCTGAACGGCCGCTGGAGACACGAAAAATTGCCCGATACCCTGCCATTGAAGATAACGAAGGGGGTTGCGCTCGCCCGCAGGCAAAAGCTGCATGTTTGCCTTCTTGGGAACGCACACTGCCCAAAACGACGGACGCGTGGCCCATCCTCTGCGCAGCTCTTCTGGCCTGACGGCCCCCGATGTTAAGTTCTTCCTACATGTCCTGGAATGGAATGGTGAGGACTGGAATGGTGAGTCCGACGGCGACGCAGGAAGTGCGAGACCCGCGAAGGCTGGAGCGGCGAGGCCTCGACGGCCCCACCACCCGGAAGCGGCCCCAGGAGGACCAGACTGCGAGAGGCCGGTCGTTTTTTCAAGTTATCCCGGTGCGACCCTACCTAGGAGTTGGAGGATTTAGGAAAGCAACATCTACATCTACATGGACAGCTACACTTACATCGACACTTGCATCTACATCTACATCAACACCAACAGCGACACTCACATCTACATCAACATCTACACCTAGATCTACATCTACATCTACATCTACATCTACATATACACCTACACCTACATCCACATATACACCTACACCTACATCTACATCTACACGTTCGCATTGGTTGCGCTTTTGTTTTGTATTGCCTTTGGTTTTGCCCTCCTTTGCTGTTGCATTGCGTTTGCTTTTGCTTTGCATTGCCTCTGCTTCTGCTAAGCTAAACTAAGCTAAGCCAAGATCAGATAAGCTAAATTAAGCTAAGCTAAACTAAGCTAAGCTAAGCGAAGCTAAGCGAAGCTAAGCTAGGCTAGGGAAAGTTAAGCTAAGCTAAGCTAAGCTAAAATGAGGTAAGTTAAACTAAACGAAGCTAAGTTAATATAAGCTAAGCTAAGTTACGCTAAGAAAAGCTAAGCTAAGCTAGGCGATGCAAAGCTAAGCTAAGCTAAGCTAAGTTAAGCTAAGATGAGATAAGCTAAGATAAGCTAAGCTAAGCTGGGTGAACCCAAGGGGCGCAACTGGGGGAACCGCGGGACGGATACTGGGGGAACCGCCCGGGGCGCTTTCCACTGCTGGCCCCTGTAAGCCCAGAGAGTAAGAACCCTTCTAGGCAGAGCCTAGGTAGGAACAATGCCAAACAACCACGACAAATATATTCGACAGCCTGACGAGGCAGAACCCGCTGTGCTGAGGGTAATCCGCAATTCCTCTTTATAAATGCTGGTTTCGGCTGTCAATCACGGCACCGCGGCGGCAGCGGTGCGCTTCGGATGACAACTTCGGTTTCGAAGTTTGCGTCGACGGCGGCCTCGAACGCTCGAAATGAACACCAATTAACGCCACCGTTTGTCAGAAGCACCTTACGGCGTCGACAACTAAGTTGCAAATTCGCGCGGGTGGGTTCGCATGAGGACCACGCGGAGCCCGCGCGTTGGACACGCACGCCGCAGACTGGACCATGGCCTTGCCAGGGCCGAGCTGAAAAAGCATGCGACCACACGCCACTGCAACTTCATTTCCCCATGGTTGGACACGTCACGTGCATCGGGGATCCTGGCACCTGTGGGAGCGGCCGAAGATCTGCCAGCAGGCCTCCTGGGCTGGTTGGGCACCTGAATGCACACCGTGGGCGCCCTCGACGGCGCCGCCCTCCTCCGAGCCACCCGCAGCAAACCGCGCACGTCCGGGTCGGTCTGGAAAATCACTCGTGCGCCGCCGGCGCGGTTGATGCCCGCAGGGCCCCGAGGCACGCGGCGGCCGCTGCGGCGGGGGGGCCCGGGCGGACCTGGGAACTGAGCCGGCGCGCGCGGGCGGCGGGGGCGGTCTTTTTTGTTTTCCCCTGCGTCTTTGTTTGTTTCCCCTGCGGCGGCGGCGAGGCGGAGCGAGATCTCGTGCGCGCTGCTTCTGCACTTCTCCACCTCAGGCCCAGCGAGCTCCGAGCCGCGCGTGGCCGCCGCGGGCGGCCGAGCGGGGTGCGCCCTCATCGGCGCATGCCGCGCGCCCTGCCGAGGCACCGCGCCTGGGGCGCGGCACGCCGGCCGGTGGAGCCGCGCGAGGAGGTTCTTGACCTTCGCAGCCCTGGAGAGCACCTCGTTGTGAAATGCAGCCACAAGGCGTCCAGGTCGTCCGCGTGTGTGCGTCAGGCGCCGACTACGACCGTCACGTAGAGATGCAGCCACAGGTCATCCAGGTCGTCCGCGTCCTAGCATCCAGCGTCAACTACAACCCTGGCGTGCATGAGCCAGCCCTGACAGGCCGATGGGCCTCAGCCTCTGGAGGCCCTCGCTGGGCCCCGGATCGGGTGGCCGCGGGGCCGTCGAAAAACGGCTCGGGACGAAAAACCCGGTCCTGGGGACAGAAGGTCCGGATTTGCGGGGGCCCCGTGCCAGAAAAAAACATCGCACGTCTGGGTTTCGGACAGCGCTAACAGCGGCGCCTGGGCACGCAAAACGCACAGGGGCAGCGCCTCCATCACAAGGCAGCGCGCGCGCGAGCGGCAGGCCAGCCCCACGAAGACCAAAGCCGGGAGGAGGAGGAGGAGGACATGGGAAGACAAGGACGGGCAGGTGGAGGAGAACTAGGAACAGGAGAAGGGGAGCGTGGCGGAGCAAGGAGGAGCAAAGATGACGAGCATGACGGAATCCTTAAAGAAACCAAAGTAGGATAGGTTGGAACACGGGAGGAAGCACAAGGAGATCGGCTAAAGTAGGCATGCCCCGCGTTCTCCATCCCTTTTCATGAATAATAAACACCCCCTGTCGCACCCCCTGACGTGTCGATCGGGCGGGTTGGGCGTTTCGCCTGATATGTCCTCACCAACTCTACTCCTTAATGATAACACATTTGCAACAACTTCAAGGATGGGGGGCGGGTGGCTTCCAATCTGTGGCTATCCCCTCATTCAGCATGTGTTGTTCTCTCCTTAGCGCCGCGCACATGCGTCTTAACAGCTTGCAGCAGCCTCAAGGATGGAAGTCGGGCGGTCTTCAACGCGTGGCCCTCTCCCGAGCGCCACGCGCGCACGTTCGTCTCGAAGGATTGTGGCAGCTTCGAGAATGGAGGGCGCTTCCTTTTTCAGGCGGTGGCGCCGCGCGCACTCGTCTGAAAAGTCTGCAGCGATTCGAGGGTTCGCAAGGTTGAAGTCCTAGGAGCGGTGCCCTGCCACGACTCAAGACTCACAGGGCGCGACGGACACGCTGATTCGCGGAGTTGAGATCCCTGGGATCTGATTGAAGCTTCCCAGACAGACGCGTGTTTTTCAATGGGGTACTTCCCGCAATGAAGCTAAAAGTATGGCAGGAACATCCGGAGAAAAGGGAACTTGGAGGGAGGGTTAATCCAACATCGTTGATGCGTCTTGGGTTTACAGTGAACGTCCTTCTCATCCTCTTTCTCATCGTCCTCCTCGTCCTACTCATCCTCCGTATCCTCTTCGTCGCCATCACCGATATTCATCATCATCATCATCATCATCATCATCATCAGCATCATCATCCTCACAATCATCATCAGCATCATCAGCATCATCATGAGCAGCAGCAACAGCATCACCATCACCACCACCATCACCATCACCATCATTATCATCATCATCATCATCATCATCATCATCATCATCATCATCATCATCATCATCAAAAGCACCATCATCCGCCATCAGCCTCCAGTCAGCATGTCGAAATCAACATCCATACCGATGCAAAAATGAAAAAGAGCGTAATCACATGAACCACCTGCACAACATTATCCAGCATCATCGTCATCATCACAGATCATCAGCATCATCGTCATCATCATCAGCAGCAGCATCATCACCACCCTCGCAAGTATCAGTGTCCGCATCATCATCGTCGTCATCATCACCATCATCAACACCATTATCGAATCCTCAGTACTACCAGACTCAGCGCCATCAGCATCAGCAGCAGCGTCAGCATCAACAGCATCATCGTCTTGCTTAGCGTCGTCGTCATCAGAATAAGAATCGGCATCACCATCATCACTAACTCCGCCTGCATCATCATCATCAGCATCATCATCAGCATCACCATCAACATCAGCATCAGCACCATCATCACCATCATCATCAGCAGCATCATCATCATAATCATCATCATCACCATCATCATCACCATCAGCATCAGCATCAGCATCATCATCACAATCAGCATTATTACGCTGTTATCATCATCAATCCCATCATCATCATCACCAGTATCATCATCATCATCATCATCATCATCATCATCAGCAGCAGCAGCAGCAGCATCAACATCATCAGCAGCATCAGCATCAGCATCCTCAGTATCATCATAATCATCATCAGCAGCAGCATCATCATCATCGTCGCCGGCAACAGCAGCAGCAGCAGCATCAACATCAACATGTCTCCCTCTCCCCCTGCCCCTGCATCCCCCTGACACCCTGAAAGCGCCCAAAAGCTTACAGAGCTCCCCCGAACGCCCTAAAATCATCTCATCCCGCCTGTACTTCTTCACCCTCACCCCAGTTCGTTTCGGGTCGCCAGCCCTTGGAGCTCGGGCCACCAGCCCCTCATGTACGGCTCCACTTGTTTCGGGCCGCCAGTCCCTGGAGCTCACGAGCCCTCCCCAGGGCATATGCTTTGTCCTGGCCCGTTGTCGGCAGCCGCCTGAGGCCTTGAAGCAGCCAACGGAGGTTGCAAAATGGTCGACAAGAACTATGGCGCGATTTGCTCGAGTCGCCTCCAAGTTCTTCTCCTCCTCCTCCTCCTCCTCCTTCTCCTCCTCCTTCTGCTCCATGTCCTCCGCCTTCCCTGCCTTCATCCCTCCCTCCCTTGTCCCTCTATTTCTCGTTCTCCGCCTTCCCTGCTTCCCTCCCTCCTCCGCCTCCTCCTCCTCCTCCGCCTCCTCCTCCTCCCTCGCCTAATCCTCCTCCACCCCTCCCTACCTCCCTTCCTCCCTCCCTCCCGCATCCTCCCTACCTGCCCCTCTCCATGCCGCTCCGTCGCCCTCCCACCCACCCTCGCCAGCACCGCCTCGCCGGAGCTGTCCGAGAGCAGGAGCTCCTTGAACAGCTCGAAGGAGAGGGTGCCGTCGGACTCCTTCCGCAGGGCCGCGAGAAACCCGTCCGGCAGGTCCGCCACTGTCATGCCGCGGGTGGCGAGGGCGTCCTGGATGGACGCCGCCTTCACCCTTCCGCTCTCGTCTGGGCAGAATTGGGCCCAGGCGACCCACAGCAGCTTGTCCTGCTCCTCTCGGCTACACGCAAGAGCGACCCTGAGCAAGAGCGACCTCTGGTGCGCAAACGCAGGCGCGCCAGACGCTACTATCGCATCGCGTTCGGCGATCGGGGGATCCCTGTGTGCCCGCACCAAAGGTCAATCTGGCGAAGGGCCACTCTGACGTCTAGTCGATCCTCCTGGGTCTGCCCCCGAAGGTTGATGACCCCCGCCAGGAACTCCGTGTACGACACCTGCCCGGTGCGGCCGACGTCCAGCTCGTTGACCACTTTCTCCAGCGCCTGCAGCGAGAGAACAGCGAGGACGAGGACGACGACGAAGACGACGACAACGAGAACGACGACGGGCGAGGACGACGACGAAGACAACGACAACGAGGAGGACGAAGGCAAGGACGCCGACACGACGACAAGGGAAACAGTTATAAACAGAAGAAAAACGACGACGACGACGACGACGACGACGACGACGGACAAGACAACGACGGCTACGACGACAGGCTGGGAACGACGACGACTACGACGACGACAACGACAACAACGACGACGGGCGGTGCCTCCGGCGAGGCGGCGAGGCCGGCGAGCCCGCGGCGGAGCTCCTCGCGCGACAGGAGCCCGTCGCCGTCGGTGTCGAAGGCGCGGAAGGCCTCGCCGCCGCCGGCGGTCGTCGGTCGTCGCCCCCGCCGCCGATCGTCGTCGGCGTCGGCGTCGGCGTCGGCGTCGTCGTCGTCGGCGTCGTCGGCGTCGGCATCGTCGTCGGCGTCGTCGTCGTCGGCGTCGGCGTCGTCGTCGTCGGCGTCGGCGTCGTCGTCGGCGTCGGCGTCGCCGTCGTCGGCGTCGTCTCGGAGGTGTTCAGGGCATCTGCTCAAGCTCTCCGCGCCACGGCCGGGAGTTCAGGAAACTGGCCAGGGTGGACCCTGGCAGGCGTCCGGGCACCGATGCTGACTCGATCTTGGTCGGACCCGGCATCCGCCGATACGAATCCCACCAGCCCTCTGGGCTAAGGCGGTCTAACGATATATGTATGTCTTGCCTCTTTCAAAACCCTTGCCCCTTCGGGGAGGTTTACCTTCGCCCCCTTCCTCAGGTTGTTGGAGGGTTCGCGATCGGTCAGGGCGCCCAAGATTGCCCAATATGGCTCCAAGAGAGCGTCCGATCGATGTTCCAAGATCGCATCCAAGGCGGCTCAAGATAGCCGAAGATGGTTCAAGATAGCTTCCGACATACCTCGAAGAGGCCCGACGAGGGCCACAAGACGGTTCCAAGTGCTCTGGGAGCCCCTTCAGGACCCCCCCAAGAAGCCCAAATCCTTCAACAACCATAAGAAATTGGAAGATGTAAGCCTTCTCGGTTTTTCGCTCCCGATGCGCTTTTAGGGCCTCAGGACGGCCCAAGCGAGGTCCAAGAGGGGCCCAAGAGGCCCCCTCGACGGCCCCAAGAGCGCCCAAGAGCGGCCCAAGAGCGCCCCAAGAGGCGATGTTGATAGTTCCAGGTGGGGGAGGGAAATCCGGAACCCACCTCCTTTGATCGATAGCCTTAAAAATGGCCTCAAGAGGCCCTCCAGGGCTCCCAAGACGGCCCTAGGAGGGCCCCAGGGCGGACCCACGAGCACCCAACAGCCCCAGAAGAGCGTCCCACGAGGGCCCCAAGAGGCAGTTTGCAGCCTCCTCCTCCTCCTCCTCCTCCTCCTCCTCCTCCTCCTCCTCCTCCTCCTCCTCCTCCTCCTCCTCCTCCTCCTCGTCTTCCTCCTCCCTACTCCTCCTCCTCCTCCTCCTCCTCCTCCTCCTCCTCCTCCTCCTCCTCCTCCTCCTCCTCGTCCTGCCCCTCCTCCTCCTTGTCCTCCTCCTCCTTCTCCTCCTCCTCCTCCTCCTCCTCCTCCAATCCGCGGCCCCAGAGCTCCCAACCGCGTCCCCAGGGGTAGTCGTTCGTCCCCGTTACAAGTTCGATGGCCCTAGGGCTTGAAGCAGGCCCCCACGGGCCGCAATCTAAAAAGAAAAACTGCTCTGGTAAAAATCATATCGACGGAGATCTGAATCGTACCGACGGAGATCTGGGGATGTTGATGGTGACGTCGGCGTCGTCGTCGCCAGCCGCACCGACAGGCACGGAGGGCCTCGTTGGCGCTCCGCTGCTGGCCGGCGTCCAGCTGCGTGGCCACCAGCCGCGTGACGAACTTCTCGAACTCAGACCGCCCGCCCACAGCGGCGACGCCGGGAGGACCGACGAGCGGCACACGCAAGGGCCTTCGGCCTTCGGAGGCCCGCGTGGATCTCATGGGTCTGCGCTGGACCCCTCTCCTGTGAATCTCATGGGTCGGCGCTGAAATCCCTCCCCTCCTCCTCCTCCTCCTCCTCCTCCTCCTCCTCCTCCTCCTCCTCCTCCTCCTCCTCATCTTGTTCCTCCTCCTCCTCCTCCCTCCTCTCCTCCTCCTCCTCCCCTCCTCCTCCCCCTCCTCCTCCTGCTCCTCCTCCTCCTCCCCTCCTCCTCCTCCTCCTCCTCCTCCTCCTCCTCCTCCTCCTCCTCCCTCCTCCTCCTCCTCCTCCTCCTCCTCCTCCTCCTCCTCCTCCTCCTCCTCCTCCTCCTCCTCCTCCTCCTTCCTCCTCCCTCCTTCTCCTCCTCCTCCTCCTCCTCCTCCTTCCTCCTCCTCCTCCCTCCTCCTCCTCCTCCTCCCTCCTCCTCCTCCTCCTCCTCCTTTCCCTCCTCCTCCTCCAGGGGCCACGTTGAGGGGGGACCGGCTCCAGGGGGGGTTGGGGGCAGAACCGAGCTCGACAGTCGGCGGTGCCTCGCCGATATATTGGCGACTGGCCCCCGAGCGCGAGTCCGCGCGCCCCTCGGCGGGTCGGGGCCCTCGGGCCCCTCTCGGCGGTGAAGGGGCGACTGGGGGCCGATGCGTCCCCCCTGAGCCTATCGCCCCCTGACGTCGGGGCGCGAGCATATACGTGGGGCTGGAGGCCGACGTGGAGGAACCGGGCCAGGACCGCACGGATCGGCCCGCCAGAGGTCCGAGGGCGCTCGGGGTCGAGGTGGTCACGGGTGCCTCAGGAGCGACGTTAGTAGGGGAACAAACAGTGGCATAAACATAAAAACTCGGAGGTCCGCGCGGATCTCTCGGATCGGCGCTGGACCCCCTCCCTGGCGCGCGGAGCGCGCCAGGGTCGGCGCCGGAGGCGCCGCCGGGAGGCCCCGGCGCCGATCCGAGAGATCCGCGCGGACCTCCGCGTTTCTATGTTTATGCCACTTGTCGTTCCCCTGCTCACGTCGCTCCTGAGGCACCCGTGACCACCTCGACCCCGAGCGCCCTCGGACCTCTGGCGGGCCGATCCGTGCAGCCCTGGCCCGGTGCCTCCACGTCGGCCTCCAGCCCCACGTATATGCTCGCGTCGCGAGGAAATCACGACGGGGTGCGGGGAGACCCCGCGAGAGCCCAAGCTGGAAGCCGGCGGTAAACCGTCAGCCTTGGTTCCCGCCGGGAGCTCCTAGAGCTTCCATGCGATGTACATGAACGGCATGCGGGCGCGGCACTCTCGCACTCCGCGCGCGCGCGAGGGTGCGGTTTCATAGAAATGCGCCTCGCAGCTCCTTGCTTGTCCACGGGGTGCGGGGAGACCCCGCGAGGGCCCCAAAGGACCCACGCTGTGCCTCGTGGACGCAGGCACGTCCGCACCCAGCGGCCTCGCGGGCCAGGCCCCTGGGCGGCGACCCCCGTGTTAGGCGGGGCGCCTTGGCTCGCGGATGCCCCGCGCGGAACGTGTCGTCTCCATCCGTGCGACCGCGCATCCGCGGCCTCGCGCCCCAGAATAGGGGACCACATGCGAACCCTACCCCTACCCCCTACGAAATTGATGGGGAGGGTGGGGTTCACTTCGCTCGGGAGCTCCCGAACGAAGTGAACCCCACCCTCCCCCTCAGAAATCGTGGGGGGTAGGGGTAATTAGGGTTCGCACGTGGCCCCCTACAAAATCCAGACCGCGAGGGCGTGGATATGGATCGGTTCGCCGCTCGATGGAGGCGGCCGGGGGATCTGAACTGGCCGGGCCCCGAGGAAGTCTGCCGAGAGGGATGGCAGCAACTCCGCTCAGAAGCAGTCCCCAGACTCCCCCGAGGTCCACCTGGTGCAGTTGTTCACCCGGGATCTGTTTTGCACTGCCCCAGGACCAGAAAACCGCCCCCCGGAGGCAGAAAAGGCATAAAAACCCTTCTCGAACTCGCACCACCTCGAACCTCGCCCCGGACTCCCCTCCCTGCCAGCCGGAACCAACGCTGTGCCCGTCCAAAAACTCCCCCTGTGGGGAGGCTTGTCCGGGAGGGCGCATGGGAGCGCTTTGGGGCGCGTGGCAACGCCTGGAGGCGCTCCCAAGCACCCCCAGGCGCTCCCAGCCAGCTCCAACCTCGGGGGCGTCCAAGAGGGGGGCGTCCAAGAGGGGGGGGCGCAAATCGTAGCCGGAGGCATGTGCGCGGACGAGGGGGGGACCTGGGGACGTCATGAAAGACGAGGAAGAAGAAGAAGAAGAAGAAGAAGAAAAAAAGAAGAGTGGGCCATGAATTGCGGAGAAATATCATAGCCCCGGCCGAGGTACCCACCCACGCTACAGTCAGGTGAACAATGTTGGTGGTGAAATTTTAGAGCGCATGTGCACGTACCGGAAGCCATGAGGGAGCCATGAGGGAGCCACGACAACGACGACGACGACGACGACGACGACGACAACGACCGACGACGACGACGACCGACCGACCGACCGACCGACCGACCGACCGACCGACCGACTGAGACGACGACGACAACGACGACGACGACGACGACTGACCGACCGACCGACCGACCGACCGACCGACCGACCGACCGACCGACCGACCGACCGACCGAGACGACGACGGCCGACGACAACCAGATCGACCGACCGGTCGACCGACCAACAGCACGCGCACAAGCGCGCGCAGACTGCCCCCGTTTGGGGGCGAGGCGTGACGACAATGCTAGGACCCCCGCCCTCGGGCCTGTACTCCTTCCCTCCCCCCACCATCTTAGTATTGTTAAATCCTAAACGGGGTGCGACGAGGGAAAATGGCTCCAGCAGCTCATGCCTGCAAGACACATAGGCTCCAGCACCAATTTTTAAACGAGGGAAGGTAGTTCCAGCAGCCGACGGCGTCGGCTCCAGCACCCAATTTTTACGAGGGACAGTAATTCCAGCAGCTCGTGCCTACAGAAAACAGATGGGCTCCAGCACCTCATGTTCTGCGAGGGAAGGCGGTTCCAGCAGCCCGCGGCGTCGGCTCCAGCACCCAATTTTTACGAGGGACAGTGGCTCCTGCAGCTCCACACCCCAACCACCACAAACCCATGCCCCTGCCGGTCAAGATTCCCACTACCAAATTATTCACCTAACTGTAGTCACTGAAATCCGGAGAGATACCATGGCCCCGGCCATGGTACCCACCCACCCCTAGTCTTAGGTCGGGCATCTCCTCCGACAGGCGGAGCGTGAAAGAAAAGCTCAGGATCGCCAGACGTCGCCAAAAACAGTCGGAGGAGCACGAGAAAACGCCACCTGCTCTGTTCTGCTGCTCTTGAACACTCCCCCCTGGTGGAGGGACATGCCCGACCTGACCCCGGTCGTCTGAAGGGAAACTGGGACACACAAATAAATAGACACAAATAACCAGATTCCCTATATTTCCCCAAATTTCCTGTGCTTCTGTCTTCCCCCCCACTTCCCATATTTTCGCATATTTTCCTGGGAGCCGACGATTAATTGTGTCTGTGTGTTTCTTTCCCTCCTGATCGTCGCCCCCCCTCCTGGACGCCCTCGGGCAGAGCCCCCGAGGGGCTCGTGCCCATGGCCGTGCCGCCGCGCGGCCCTCCGGGGGGGATGCTCTTCAGGAGCTCGCCGCCCTGGTCCAGGGCCCGGGCCGCGGGGCTGCCCGCCAGGACGCCGGTGCCCACGAACCAGGGGTCCCGCAGGCACTCCTGCGGGCAGGGGGCAGCAGGCGAGCCCGAACCCCTACCCCCCACGTGGCCATGGAGGAGGAGGAGGAGGAGGAGGGGGAGGAGGAGGAGGAGGAGGAGGAGAAGGAGGAGGAGGAGGAGGAGAAGGAGGAGGAGGGGGAGGGTGGGGTTCACTTCGCTCGGGAGCTCCCGAGCGAAGTGAACCCCACCCTCCCCCTTCGGAAGTCGTGGGGGGTACGGCAGGTTCGTGTCGTGCCGACCCCGGCGTTGGCTTTTGACACCGCGCTGGATCGTTCAACCTTGAACGATCGGCCGCTGCCGCAACGTCCGATCGTTCCACATCGAGCGATTCTGGGTCGCCGGCGGCGTTCAACCTTGAACGTCCGCGCTGGGGTCGCCGCTGGTCGACACGACGCAAACCTATCGTAGGGGGTAGGGTTCGCCTGTGGCCCCCTAGCGGGGGGGCAGCGGGCGGCCACGGCCCCGTCGAGGGCACACTCTCGGGGATAGGCCGCGCGCGGGGGCCATGCGGCGAGGGTCAGAGCACCGCAAGCGGCTCGGTGCCGGTTGTGGTCGACGTGGCGTGCCAGGACGGCCAAGGCGGCCTCAGCCACAACCATAGGGCGACGAAATCTATACATATCCACTGCTCCCAGGCCAGGCCCACCCTCAACCCCGCAGCGGTGTATACGCCACGCCCTCCTGGCTTGGCCAGGAGGGCGCATACACAGCTCCTGGGTTCAAGATGGGCATGGTCAGGGAGCAGTGGATATGTATAGATTTCGTCGCCCGAAATTAACCAGAGTGCGCATGTCGAAGTCGGTGGGTTCTTCCCCGAAGAAACCTCCCGAACGATCAGCTCGGCTGTGGTTGTGGTTCTCTGTTGCGCCCGGAACTCCTGCGCGCTGGGGCGCTGGTGCTCCTGAGGGGGCCATAACGCATCGAAGCCGCTCCAGTCATGGTGCTACCGTCACCCCGAGATCCGGGCCTTGCAACGTTGTCGAGCCGGGCGTCTTCGCATAATTTCGGGCCCTGGGACCCTCACATGCGGCGACGGGGACCTCCCAGGGGGGCCCCAAAGAGGGCGGGGGCGAGGCGAGGGCAGCGGTGTGTCGGCGCCTGTTCCTCCTCCGAGGCTCCCTCTTGTTGAGCATCCGCCTGCACATGCTCCGCGCCTCCTGCGTGGCGCCCGGAAAGGAGCTCCAGTCGGGCTCCGCCTGCACCGCCTCCGTGGGAGCAACAAAAGAAGCGGCACAGACTTTTGATCCGCGGGTCGAGAGCGCACCTCTTCCGGTCGAAGCTAAGCGGGCCGCGCACAGCTGCAATTGACAGAGGGGGGAAGGCAGAGGGAGGGGCCTCACGTCAAGGCCAAGAGAGCAAAGCGGCACAGACATGAACTGTCGGAGCTCCACGCGGGCTCTTCTTGGATCGGTGCTGGGCCCCTCCCCCTGGCGCGCGGAGCTCCTGAGGTTTATGCTTACGCACGTGCTTCTTCATCGAGCGCCGTCGTCTTGGAGGTGCCCTGGCCGTCTGCGGAGGCTCCCGTCGCCACGGCCGGACCGAGCTCAAGAAACTGGACGGGGCGGCCCCGGGGGGAGGCGTCCTGGCACCGGTTACCAGCCTGGAACATATCCCTATCCCTATGCTGGGCATCTCCTCATCACGATGCCAATGTTAGGGATCCTGTATTTTTTGAGGGCTCATCCCTAAGATTGTCATCGCCTTTTGGCGTGTGAATCTTAGGGATAGGGATAAGATCGAGGCTGGTAAACCGGCTCTGACCGGATCCGATTCGGACGGCGACGCCGCCGAGCCTTGGGGAACTCCTTCAGCGTGGGGGCCTGGAACGGCAGCCTGCCAGACAGGAGGAAGAACAGCATGCAGCCGACCGACCAGATGTCGCAGCTCTTGCTGAAGTTGCCCTGCCACACCTCCAGGGAGGCCCAAGCCTCCAAAACGTATTGCAAAAACGGCTCGAAAGATTTCCGCTGTGTTCGGCCTCTCGGGGGGCCCTCCCCGGCCCAGGGAACCGTCGACAAACGACTCGGAATGCAAAACCAGCCCTGGGAGGAGGGTCGGGACCTTCGGGGGCCTCGCACTGAGATCAAGACAGCACATCGGATCTCTGGGACGGTGAAGGCCCTGACCGAGAGACGAGGAGGGGATCTGAGACTGGATTGGGGGTCTAACTCCATGGGGAGAGGCCTCGCGAAACGTACACTGCCCTGCCCAGCGCGCATGTCTGGGAGACCCCGAAAGCAAGTTCCTGCCGTGGCGACGTCGGATCTGATTTCTGGCAACGCTTGCACCGCTCACCGACCAAAGATAGGCAGTGGTGGGGAATGGATGAATCTGTTCTATACCAGTATTGGAGAACTCCGTTAAAGCAAAACGAGAAACGGATTCACCCAATTACTGAAGCAAACGAAAACCAGCTGGGCAGCAAGCACCAAGACCTGTGCAGGAGGTGACACGTGTTTCTGAACGGAAACCCGTTCACTACCACGACCCCACTTGTTCGATGAACCCCTGGGTCTTGACCACTCTCCGCTCGCGGCCGTCCCCAGCGGCTCTCTCGACTACATCTTCCGCACCCGCCGGTCGGAAGGGGTGGGCCGAAACATGAGGCAAGAAGGCTCTGGACGTAGACTGTGAAGGGGATCTGGGACACACAAATAAACAGACACAAATAAACAGATTCCCCATATTTTCTTATATTTTCTGGGTTTTTGTCTTCCCGCCCAATTCCCATATTTTCCCATGTTTTCTGGGGGATCGACGATGAATTGTGTCTGTGTGCTGTTTCTCCTCCTGAGACTGGGCGACCGCCCGGCCCCCTAGGACGAGGGCAGAGGGAAGACCACTCGACCCTTGAAGCAGGAAGGCGCCCAGGGCAGATTGGGACCCGGGCGTCCATGGATACCTACAGGGCAGCTTTTGATACATAGGAGGTTTATATATATATATATATATGGATTTTGATATATGATGAATTCACGAATAAATTCACGCACGAACTCCTCGTTGTGTCTCATGCGAACTCCCTGCATTTTTATACATACATGGCCCGCACGCGGAGCCTGCATCAAAAACGGCACCGCACTGGATCTCGGTTTCTAACGATTTCTAGGGGAAGCATCAAAATTCTGGAGCTAAAAAATATAATTTGTTGATGGGCGTCCCAAGGATAATGAGCGCAGTGGTAGCATGACATATCCGAAATCAAGAAGCAGGATGAGGAGGAACGGGATGACGAGCAACTCTGTCACAGAGGGCCTCCAAACGCACGCCCTCTGTCACAGAGGGCCTCCAAACGCACCCCCTCTGTCACAGAGGGCCTCCAAACGCACCCCCTCTGTCACAGAGGGGGGAAATGATCACTTTCATGCGGCTTCTGGATTACCTGCTCTCGACCACCGACGGGCGCGGACCTGCGCCGCCCCCGTGCCCTCTGCGCCCCCGGGGGCCCGAGACCGAGCCCTACCTGGCAGGCGCTCGGCCCCCGGCGCGCCCGCCCCCCGCGGGGGGGCCGCCGCCGCGCCGAGGCGCCCCGAGCCACGCCGGAGGCCCCCGGAGTCCCCATCGCCGGGCTGCCCCGATTGAAGGGGAACTGGGACACACAAATAAATACACACAGATAAAAAGATTCCCCATATTTTCGCATATTTTCTCGGTTTTTGTCTTCCCCACCACTTCCCATATTTTCTTATATTTTCCTGGGAGTCGACGATTAATTGTGTCTGTGTGTTTTTTTCCCTCCTGAGGGCGGGCGCGCCGCCGCGCCGAGGCGCCCCGAGCCGCGCCGGAGGCCCCCGGAGTCCCCATCGCCGGGCTGCCCCGATGCGCCACACCCAGACCCCCTCGAGTAATGAAAAAATCATGACGCGAGGTTTTTCGCGATTTTCGGCCTCCGGGGGCCCTCACCGGGCCTCGGGAGCGTCAAAAAACGACTCAGGATGCAAAGCCAGTCATGGGGAAAGGGTCGGGACCTCTGGGGGTCGACGTAATGAAAAAATCATTACGTCGGGGGTCTGGGCACGCGGCACGCATCGAACGAACGAACGAACCGCCTCCATCGAACGGCTGGACAGACCTCCCTTTGGTAAATTATCCCGGCAAAGCAACCTAACAGCGATGTGTAGAAGCATATCTGAAAGCATTCCCCTTAAGACTCAGATGAAAATCCAGTTGTCGAATTCTGCTGTTCTCGCAGTCGTAGTCGCATTCGCGATGACAGTCGCAGCGGCAACGGCAGTCGCAGTCACAGCCTCAGCCTCAGCCTGCCTCCTCCCCCTCCTCCTCCTCTTTCTCCTGCTCCTCCTCCTCCTCCTCCTCCTCCTCCTCCTCCTCCTCCTCCCTCCTGCTCGTCCTCGTTCTCGTCCTCCTCGTCTTGCTCGTCCTCCTCCTCCTGGTGCTCTCTCCTCCTCCTCCTCCTCCTCCTCCTCCTCCTCCTCCTCCTCCTGGTGGTCCTCGTTCTCCTCCTCCTGGTGCTCTCCCCCCCCCTCCTCCTCCTCGTCCTCCTCCGCCTCCTCCTCGTCCTCCTCCTCTTCCTCTCCGGCCTCCTCCTCCTCTCCTACTCTCCTGGTAGTCCTCACCCCTCCCCTCCTCCTCCTCCTCCTCCTCTTCCTGGTCGTCCTCGTTCTCGTCCTCCTCGTCTTGCTCGTCCTCCTCCTCCTGGTGTTCTCTCCTCCTCCTCCTCCTCCTCCTCCTCCTCCTCCTCCTCCTCCTCCTCCTCCTCCTCCTCCTCCTCCTCCTCCTGGTGGTCCTCGTTCTCCTCCTCCTGGTACTCTCCCCCCCCCTCCTCCTCCTCCTCCTCGTCCTCGTCCTCCTCCTCCTCCTCCTCCTCTTCCTCCTCCTCCTCCTCCTCCTCCTCCTCCTCCTCCTCCTCCTCCTGGTACTCCTCCCCCTCCCCTCCTCCTCCTCCTCCTCCTCTTCCTGGTCATCCTCCTCCTCCTGGTCGTCCTCCTCCTCCTGCTCGTCCTCCTCCTCCTCCTGCTCGTCCTTCTTCTCCTGCTCCTCCTGCTCCTTGTCCTGCTCGTCCTCGTCCTCCTGGTCTTGCTCGTCCTCCTCCTCGTCGTGCTCTTGCCCCTGCTGAACATGTGGCCCAGGAATGGGAGTTCTGGGAAGTCGAAGAGCACGAAGTTGCCTACAGTTAGCTACGGGCATTCAAAATGTAGCCCGGGAATGGAGTTCTGGGAACTCGAAGAGCACGAAGTGGCCTACAGTTGGCTCCGGGCATTCAAAATGTGGCCCGGGACTGGAGTTCTGGGGACTCGAAGACCACGAAGTGGCCTACAGTTGGCTCCGGGCATTCAAAATGTGGCCCGGGAATGGAGTTCTGGGAACTCGAAGACCAGGAAATGGCCTACAGTTGGCTCCGGGCATCCAAAATGTGGCCCGGGAATGGAGTTCTGGGAACTCGAAGAGCACGAAGTGTTTGACTGTTGCATCCGGCCCTCCAGAATGTGGCCCGGGAATGGCGTTCTGGGATCTCGAAGAGCACGAAGTGTGTGACTGTTGCATCCGGGTATTGAGAATGTGGCCTGGGAATGGAGTTCTGGGAAGTCGAAGAGCACGAAATGTGTGTGACTGTTGGTGAAAAACGAGCCCGGCACCCTGCCGCCCGGCAACTCCCCAACACCTGCCCGGACCCCCCTGTGGAGTGATCTGTGAGCTCTTTTGAGTCAACTAGAAACCTATCAGTCTTCGCTGTTAGGTAAAAAGTGGTCTCGTGGAAACGACCTCGGGCCCAGACCTGGCGGGCGCAAGCCTGGAGAATAACGGCCGCGGCGCCCTCTCGAGAACCGAAAACGGACAATTCACTAATCGACGTGTCAGGGTAGGAGGTCCCCCTTGCTGGGCTGCCCCGATGCGCCACACGCGGCACGCAGCGTTATGTCGGGCGTGTCCCCCTACAGGGGGATTTTCAACGAAAAATAAATTATCCCGGCAAAGCAACCTAACAGCGATGTGTAGAAGCATATCTGAAAGCATTCCCCTTAAGATTCAGATGAAAATCCAGTTGTCGAATTCTGCTGTTCTCGCAGTCGTAGACGCATTCGCGATGACATTCGCAGCGGCAACGGCAGTCGCAGTCACAGCCTCAGCCTCAGCCTGCCTCTCCTTCCTCCCTCTTTCTTTTTCTCCTGCTCCTCCTCCTCCTCCTCCTCCTCCTCCTCCTCTTCCTCCTGCTCGTCCTCGTTCTGTCCTCCTCGTTTGCTCGGTCCTCCTCCTCTCTGGTGCTCTCATCCTCCTCCCCCTCTCCTCCTCCTCCTCCTCCTCCTCCTCCTCCCTCCTCCTCCTGGTTGGGTTCCTCGTTCTCTCCTCCTGGTGCTCTCCCCCCCCCTCCCCTCCTGTCCTCCTCCTCCTCCTCCTCCTCCTCGTCCTCCTCCTCCTCTTCCTCCTCCCTCCTCCTCCTCCTCCCTCCGCCTCCCGGTAGTCCTCCCCCTCCCCCTCCTCCTCCTCCGCCTCCTCTTCCCTGGGTCGTCCGCGTTCTCGTCCTCCTCGTCTTGCTCGTCCTCCTCCTCCTGGTGTTTCTCTCCTCCTCCTCCCTCCTCCTACCTCCTCCTCCTCCTCCTCCTCCTCCCTCCTGGTGGTCGCTCGTTTCTTTCTCCTCCTCCTGGTACTCTCCCCCCCCCTCCTCCTCCTCCTCCTCGTCCTCGTCCTCCTCCTCCTCCTCCTCCTCTTCCTCCTCCTCCTCCTCCTCCTCCTCCTCCTCCTCCTCCTCCTCCTCCTGGTACTCCTCCCCCTCCCCTCCTCCTCCTCCTCCTCCTCCTCTTCCTGGTCGTCCTCCTCCTCCTGGTCGTCCTCCTCCCCCTGCTCGTCCTCCTCCTCCTCCTCCTGCTCGTCCTTCTTCTCCTGCTCCTCCTGCTCCTCGTCCTGCTCCTGCTCGTCCTCGTCCTCCTGGTCTTGCTCGTCCTCCTCCTCGTCGTGCTCTTGCCCCTGCTGAAAATGTGGCCCAGGAGTGGGAGTTCTGGGAAGTCGAAGAGCACGAAGTTGCCTACAGTGGGCTACGGGCATTCAAAATGTGGCCCGGGAATGGAGTTCTGGGAACTCGAAGAGCACGAAGTGGCCTACAGTTGGCTCCGGGCATTCAAAATGTGGCCCGGGAATGGAGTTCTGGGAACTCGAAGACCAGGAAGTGGACTAGAGTTGGCTCCGGGCATCCAAAATGTGGCCCGGGAATGGATTCTGGGAACTCGAAGAGCACGAAGTGTGTGACTGTTGCATCCGGCCCTCCAGAATGTGGCCCGGGAATGGAGTTCTGGGAACTCGAAGAGCACGAAGTGTGTGACTGTTGCATCCGGCCCTCCAGAATGTGGCCCGGGAATGGCGTTCTGGGATCTCGAAGAGCACGAAGTGTGTGACTGTTGCATCCGGGTATTGAGAATGTGGCCTGGGAATGGAGTTCTGGGAAGTCGAAGAGCACGAAGTGTGTGACTGTTGGTGAAAAACGAGCCCGGCACCCTGCCGCCCGGCAACTCCCCAACACCTGCCCGGACCCCCCTGTGGAGTGATCTGTGAGCTCTTTTGAGACCACTAGAAACCTATCAGTCTTCGCTGTTAGGTAAAAAAGCGCCCAAAAATACCCCAAAAAGGTCCAAAAATATTTGTTTTTTTAAAAAATCCCTGGACTATTTTTGGACTATGTTTTGACTATTTTGGGGGCATTTGTTATTTTTCGTCGGAAGTCGTCCTGTAGGGGCACAGGCCCGACTTAAACGTAGCGCATAGGCACGGAGCTCAGCACGCAGACCGAAGACGCAGGCATGGCGCGACGCGTTCGCCGAAACCTGGGCCCAGACGCTGAGCCAAGACGCAGCGTGCGAACCCGGACGCTCTGAACGCGGCACCTGCTGCGTGTCCAAAACGGGAGCGCCGAGGCAGCCAAGGTCCCCAGAGGCCGGCGCGGTCTGCAGAGGTCCCCCGAGCCCTCCAAGAGTCCCCGGGGGGCCGCCTCCCGTGGCCAACAACGATTCACAAAAACCCTTACGACAACAGAAAGCGATCGACCCTCGATGACGGACCTCGTCGTTTGCGGCCACCAGACGGGACCTCTCAACCCCTTCCGAGGGACCGGTTTTTCGTCACGGATCGAGTTCGACGGCTCCAGAGCCCGAAAGCGACCTCGACGAGACGCCGAAAGAGAGGGACAAAAAGGACAGCACTGCAACCATCACAGCGTCGGAGGTCTCGGCCTCTCCACCTCCTCCTCCTCCTCCTCCTCCTTCTCCTCCTCCTGCTCCTCCTGCTCCTCCTCCAACTCCTCCTCCTCCTCCTCCTCCTGCACTCTGGAGGTTGGCTGGCAGCGGCGCACTGGAAAAAATCCTCCTCCTCCTCCTCCTCCTCCTGCTCCTCCTCCTCCTCCTCCTCCTCCTCCTCCTCCTCCTCCTCCTCCTCCTCCTCCTCCTCCTCCTCCTCCTCCTCCTCCTCCTCCTCATCCTCCTCGATCGCCTCAGGGGCCATGTACGGGGGCGTCCCAGACACGACGGCGCTGCGGTCCGTCGGGTGGGAGAAGACCTCCGCGAGGCCGAAGTCCACCACCACCACGTGCATGTCCTGCACGGGCGCGTCCCGGGGAGAGCACATCATGACGTTCTCCGGCTTCAGGTCCTTGTGGATCACGGCGCGCGAGTGGCAGTAGGCCAGCGCCGAGAGGGTGTGCAGCAGAACCTTCGCTGGCAGGGCTTCGGGTCGTGCACAGGCAGCCCCCCCAGGTGGTCCTGGCTGGCCTCCACAGGCCCCCCAAAGCAGGCCTCAACAGGCCCCCCGGATAGACCGGGGCGGCCTCGAAGCCCTGGCGCCGCCTCCTGCAGCGCCCATAGAGCGCTCCGCGCCCCACGGCTGAGGTGTAGAGACGAGACCGGACTGCCCAAGGGCCTGTTTAGGCCAGCTGGGACTGCTCGGGTGGCCTGTCAAGGCCAGTCGGAACTACCGGGGTGGGGGCCTGCCTGCGCGCCACCCGAAGCCTCACCGACCTTCGCGACCCAGAACTCGTACGCCTGAGCGTCCATCGGCGGCAGGCTCCTCACGTACTCCGCGAGGTCGCCGCCAATGCACCGCTCCATGACGAGGTAGAACTGCTCCTCGTCCTCGAAGTCCTCGAAGATGCGGAGGACGTGCGGGTGGTCCAGCTGCTTCAGCACGGCCAGCTCCTCCCGGACCTTGGCCTCGGGCACCCGAGCCTCCTTCGCCCTCGCCTTGTTGACGATCTTGCAGACGCGCACGCGCCTCTCGTTCTGGCTGTCCCGCTGCGTCCGGTGCGTCACCAGGTGCACGGTCCCGAAGGAGCCCCGGCCGAGCACGCCGCTCGCCTCGTAGACGTCGCCGAACCTGCGCGGGTTGCGCTTGAGGAACTCCTCGCGCCACCGCTGGTCGCGCTCGCTGGCCTCCGTGCTGCTGGGGGTGTCCCGCGCCTGCGCGCGGTCTGGAGCTTTTGCCAAAACAGCCAAGATCTACTCCCTGGGCTGCGAGGGCCCGCGCCGATCGGCAAAACAAGGAATCAGAGAACGATCACCTTACGGCCAGGAGCTATTGCTCAGCGTGTCGCTGCGGCGGCCAGGGAGACACGCCGTGCCCTGCAAGCGGATATCGTTTGTCGCTCCGCTCCGCGAGGCGGGAGGCTGTGAACGACTCGGGACGTTGACGCTCGGGGGCTGGGACGTGGATGTAGCGCGTCGCGCCGAAGAGTGGTGGGCCAGGCCTGGCTGCGAGACACGCGAAGCCAAGGGGCCCGACCGCAGATCTGTGCCGATGACGACCGAGGATCAAGGATCGAGGCCTCTGGAAGTTTGCTGGCTCGCCCTGGGCCTTCGGAGACCCCTGGGGGCCTCTGGGGGACCTCCAGGGGCCTCCACAGGGGTCAGGATCCGGGGCGACGCTGAGGCGGAAGACGATGGAGGTCTTGAGTAAGGAATGCATGCAGAAAGAATCTGGAGGCTCGAACGGTCCGAACTCCTGATATGCTCGAAGGCATGGTCGTCACTCTCGAAAATCAAAGCGTGAATATCGAAGCATGTGTTTGCTTACGCGCGCCTCGGCGACCCGCACCTCTTGGCTGGCCCTGAGGAAGCACAGCAGCCGGAACAGCAGCGCCTCGAACTCCTCGATGCCGACGCCACCGGCGGGGCCTCCGCCGTGCTTCTCGAAGAGCGCGAGCATCTGCGCGTCCATGGGCAGAGGGAGAAGAAGCGACACAAACATAAGTTCTCAGAGGTCCGAGCGTTATGTCGGGCGTGTCCCCCCTACAGAGGGATTTTCGACGAAAAATCAAAACTACACCAACAATGCCCCAAAAAGGCTCCAAAAGTAGTCCCCAGGCTATTTTTGGATTCTTTTTGTTGACTATTTTGAGGGTATTTCTCATATTTTTCGTCGAAAATCCCCCTGTAGGGGGACACGCCCGACTTAATCCGAGCGCATTCCTTGGATCGGCGCTGGGCCCCCGCGGCGGCGCCTCCGCGCGCAATGGGAAGCCCAGCGCCGACCCCAGGAAGTCCCCGCGGAGCTCCGAGAGCGCACGCCCGGGCTGCTGCTCTGCTCCCTCTCCTGGGGGTGCTCATGCGCAGCTCGCGGAGGACCTCCTTCAGAGACCTCTTGAAGTCCTCTTGGGCGTTGCATAATGGGGGGGTCATAAATGGGGGGTTGGTGAGGGTGGTCCGAAAAGGTACCCAGACGGTACCTAAACGAGCCCCCTGGGGCTCCAGAGGGGCCCGAAAGGGGCACGAAAGAGGACCGTTTCTGACCCCCCCATTTGTGACCCCCCCATTAAGCCATGCCCAATCCTCGAGGCCGAGGCAGGCGCCGGGGGGCAGGTCCCGGAACGGGCGCTCGGCCAGCTTCCTGCCGGGGGCTGCGGGGGGTGGCCGCCCGGGCCCTGGGCGACCCCGGCTCTCCCAGGGGTCCAGGTGGCCCCCCGGAGGAGAGATCTGCTCCAGACTCTGGGTCGGTCAGGCTCTGCAGGATGCAGCACAATCCTGCAGCGTCCTGCAGGATCCTGCGCCCCGGCCTGGGTCGGTGCAGCCCTGGCGCCGCAGGATCCTGCAAGATCCGGCGCTCTGACCCCCGTTCGCAGGGAACCCTGCCAGTTGAGCCCCGACCCCGGGGAGGGGGCAGAGGCCCGGGGTACCGAGAACCATTTGGCGGCGTGGGGCACGGCGGGGCGGGGATGCGATGCAAAGCTTGGGCGCGACCAGCAGTATGTGGGGGGTCCAGCCCCCGAGATACGACCGTTGCCGTCGAAGCACAATTACCCAGTGGCGTACCCAACCTTGTCTAAGATTTGGCTAACATGTGTGTATATATGTGTGTATAACTACAAATATATACATTGGACCGCTCAAAGCCAACAGACATGCTGAAGGACCCGCAGTGCGCTGGGGTTCTCAGAAGATCACACCAGCATGCAAGAATGGCAAGATGGAGACGGAGACAGAAGCATACAGAGGAGGGTGAAGGGGGACACACATGCTCAACAACGGCAACGGCAGTAGCGCCAGCGCTACATACGCGGGACAGAACAGCGCCGTGCGCTCTATAGCAGAACAGCGCGTCGCTCTGGGCGAGGCACGCGCCCGAGGAGGCATGGCGGGCCAGAAGCAGCTGAGGATGGGAGGCCATGCAAACAAAAGACAGCGCCACGCGCTGCGTGGCGCAGCGGCTCCCCGCTAGCTGCGATGCGACAGCGCCGAGCTGGATCCCCGTACAGATCCACTCCGCTAGACCTCCCAGGAACCCACGACAGCGGCGACAGTTTCACACGTCGCAGCCTCCCACGGAGCCTCGAGGTCTCGATTGGACCCACGTGGAACTCCACTCCGCTGGACCTCCCAGGAGCCCGCGAAAGTGGCGGCAGTTTCACACGTCGCAGCTCCCTTCGCGAGGTCTCAACTGGATCCCCGTACAACTCCGCTCCGCTGGACCTCCCAGGAGCCCACGAAAGTGACGACAGGTTCACACGTCGCAGCCCCCCCAGGGAACGGCGAGGTCTCAACTGGATCCCCGTACAACTCCACTCCGCTGGACCTCCCAGAGCCAACGAACGTGGCGACAGTTTCACACGTCGCAGCCCCCCAGGGAGCCGCGAGGTCTCAACTGGATTCCCGTACAACTCCACTCCGCTGGACTTTCCAGGAGCCCCCGAAAGTGACGACAGCTTCACACTTCGCAGCCCCCCCCAGGGAGCCGCGAGGTCTCAACTGGATCCCCGTACAGCTCAACTCCGCTGGACCTCCCAGGAGCCAACGAACGTGGCGACAGTTTCACACGTCGCAGCCCCCCAGGGAGCCGCGAGGTCTGATCCCCGTACAACTCCACTCCGCTGGACCTCCCAGGAGCCCACGAAAGTGGCTGCAGATTCACAATTGGAGCGCCTTTCTTTATGTTCGGCGATGACAGGCGTCATGGGGGGGGGGAGGGGGGGTATGACATAACGCCCCCCCCCCGCCGTGTAGCTCCAGCACCACAGCCGCGCCCGCGCGCACGACGCGACGAGCGACGAGCGACGACAACGACGACAACGACGACGGCGACGACGACGGCGACGACGACGACGACGACGACGACGCGAGCAGCATGTAGGTGGCGATCTGCCCCACTGCGCCTGTGTACACCACAACGCTCGCGTGCACCACAGCGCGCGTGTACGCCACAGCGCCTGCGTACACCGCAACAGCCGTGTGCAACGCAGCGCCTGTCTACACCACAGTGCCTGCGTACACTACAAAACAAAAAAATAAAAAAAAAAAAGAACACAAAAAATACAAAAAACAAAAAACAAACAAAAAAAAAAAAGAAAAAAAAAAAAAAAAACAAAGACAACTACAATAAAAAAAAAAACAAAAAAGAAAAAAAAGACAAACAGAAAAACAAAAACAAAAAAAAGTACAATAAAAAAATTACAAAAAAAAAAAAAAAAGAACAAAACCCAATAGCGCCGGTTGATACATTTTGTCAACCGCGAGCAACCATGTGCAACACAACAAAAAACACAAAATAGAAAAAAAAATGAAAAAAAAAAAAACAACAACGGCACTGTGTACACCACAGTGCTTGCGTCCACCACAACGCCTGTGCACGCTACAGCGCCTGTCTACACCACAACATCCGCGTGCAACACAGCCTGCGCTGGTGTACACCAGAGTGCCTGCGTGCACAGGACAAGCAGAAGGAGCATGTACGTGAGAATCTGCTGCGGACAACTAAACGCCACGCCAGGAAAGTGCTGATAATCGAATGCGACGTCCTTCCCTCCTCCCTCCTCCTCCACCTCCACCTCCTCTTCCTCCACCTCCTCCTTCTCCTCCTCCTCCTCCTCCTCCTCTTCCTCCTCTTCCTCCTCCTCCTCCTCCTCCTCCTCCTCCTCCTCCTCCTCCCCCTCCTCCTCCTCCTTATTCCTTGTCGTGAGGGTTGGCGCTACAGCGCACGTGCGCATCTCAGCGTGCACCGCAGAATGGCCCATTGAATCGGTCCACTTGGTTCTCGGACGGCCAATTTAGCTGGAGCCCCCTGGACGCAAATGGGAGGAGTTAGGGTGATGCGGGTGGACTCGGGAAGACTCGTAGATTCCAGCGGCGCTCAGTTGTCCATAAGGATTCCTTTCTTTTTGATTGCTCTGGAATACGCAAGCGCTCCATTTTGTCACAAGGATTCCTTTTCAAATTCTATATTTACAACAGTGGTGCTGTGTTGCACACGGTTGCTGTGGTGCACACAGGCGCCGTGATGCACAAAGGCACTGCAATGCACGCAGGTATTGTGGTGTAGACAGGCGCTGCGTTGCACACGGCTGTTGCGGTGTACGAAGGCGCTGTGGTGTACACGCGCGCTGTGGTGCACGCGAGCGTTGTTGTGTACACAGGCGCAGTGGGACAGATCACCACCTACATGCTGCTCGCGTCGTCGTCGTCGTTGTCGTCGTCGCTCACGGCTGACGTGGTGTAAGCAAGCGCTGTGGTGTACACAAGAGCTGTTGTGCCCGCAGGCACGGTGGCACAAACTGACACTGTGTTGCACG